TAATTTAGATATCATTTTCAATTGAAACCCCTTAATCCTGATCATAAACCACCGGGTATTAAGGATATTGTGTATTTGGAACCCTCACCTAGTTTCTGTGAAAAGAATCTACGTTTAGGCATCCAAGGCACACATGGGCGACAGTGCAATGACACGTCCATCGGTGTGGACGGTTGCGATTTAATGTGCTGTGGCCGTGGCTATCGTACACAAGAAGTAATAGTGGTTGAACGTTGTGCTTGCACGTTTCATTGGTGTTGTGAAGTCAAGTGTAAACTATGTCGAACGAAGAAGACGATACACACGTGTCTATAAGTGAATCAACAAAAAAAAAAAAAAAAAAAAAAACCCACACAAAAAAAAAAAATTAAAATTATAAAATAAAAAATAAAATACAATTAACACATACACACATACAGCTGGCATGTAAAAAAAAAAAATCAATAAATAACAACAACAAGGAAAAGAAAAAATATCTCCCTAACAAACTAACTAAAACAAATACTTAATATTAAATATGAATTTGCGTTCATAAGATAGACTTTGCCTCTCGCCAAGTAGAGCAAAGCTTGTTATTGTTTTATATAGAATTATATACATATATAGTATATATATAAATATATATATATATATACTTATATAGAAGTATGCTTAGAAATTTTATACACGAAGGTAACTTGTAATAATATGTTTATTGAAATGAATTTTCTCAAATGCTTGCCGTTAACCACATACATGCGTTCAAACAGCATATACATAACAATAATAAGAGAGCAACGCAGCAACATCAACATCAACATCAACAGCAAGAGCAATAACATGCTTGTCTATTATCTGCATAATATGTCAAATTGAATTTATTTCATGGTTAGTCCAGAAAGTTGTCGAACCTGTGTGTGGTCTTATTTGTAATCATATTATTTATATAACATGTTGAACGTTTAAATTAATTTCAAAAAAAAAAAAAAAAAGGAAAATTAAAAGCACTTTGGATTAATCATTTTACTTTGAAGAACTGAACCCGTCCCATATATTTTAAAGTGAAATTATTACTCGAAATTTTTGTATTAAATGAAACCAAGTGTAAGTTATTTCCCTTTTCCTGATTTTCTGTTTTCCTGTTTATTATATATTTGCAGTATTAAATTTATTTTTTTTTTTTTTTTATAATTTAAATACTTAGTACGTACATCGTAGACACCTTTTTTAAGTCCAGTCTTTTTTTTTTATATTTTTTTTTTTTTTTTAGTTAAGTAAGTTAACTTTACAATTGCAACGTAAAAAAACATTAAAAAAATTTAGTTCAATGATATAGTTGAACTTAATCAAAGACTGAATTCTTTTAACAAGAAAAAATAATAACAAATCGCGCATCACAAATCATACGCATTTCTGGCATGATCTATAATAACAAAAGAAAATAAAATAAAAAAATAAAAAGAGTTTGCTTTCAGTTCATGCGGTCGATCCCTTATACCCACCAGAATTAAATATGAGGTTTCTTTTTTTTTTTTAATAAAAAAAAAAAAAACTTACAACATTGAACTATGTATTAATGCTTTCGTTCGTGTATAATGACGTTCACGCTGTCCACTGTCAATCCTTTCCGCAATACCGAGCGGAAATTTTTTATTGATTTTCATTTATATCACTATTCGAAGGACACCTATTTGCGCTCCTTCTTTTTATTTAATTTATTTATTCAATTTTTTCTTTTGAATGTGACCAAGTATTAAGGAAATGTCTTCTAACCGCCGGACAGAAGTGGATGTACGCCTAATCGCTAAGAGTTATAACTTCAACGCATTGAGATTTGAATCGGCGAACACTGATCTGACAGTCGCAATTTTTACCTACTCGGCTACTCTTGCTCTTTACACAGATCATATAATAAAATATTAGGGAGGACATACTTGGCTTTTGCACCAAACAAATATTCTTTGTATCCAACAATACGCCAAACAGGTCAGCATAATTTCGAATGTTTATCTGTTCTTTCTATCTTGTCACTTATTTGTCCTTCTCTCTCCTTCTGTCTTATATCTGTTCATTTGATTCCGAGTTAGACCTACAGGTCAAAACTTTCGATATATATCAATGGAGTTCATTACATTGCTTATATGTTTTAGTTCCCCTTTGGATAGTTCCTATTGAAAACAGATTGGATGGAATCGCCTCATCAATCGTTCCCTTTATAAGAACCGATTTGAAAGAAATCGTAAAAGAAAAAAATTGCAAAATGCAAATCAGCGAAGAAAGAGAAAAAAATAGGCAGTGGTCATTGTTTAGCAGGTACATACTCAATTAGTAAGTGTTGTGCTTTTAGCCTTGAAAATGAACTGCTTAGTAAACCTGAGCCATGCTCCATAAAAAGACGAAATTTGCTCATTTTTATTACATTCCTAGGTTGGTTTTGTGGTAAGCGAAAAAATGCAAAGTATTGTGTAGCGGGCCGTTCTTGGTTGCAGCTTGGTCCATTTAGTAGGGGAAGGAATCCTCCCCGTAACTCTTAATTATTTTATAGAATTTTTTCTCAATCACTGATGAAATTGCTGATCTAAGACACAATGCCGGCCAATGAAACATTCTCTGATAGATCTTGCAAAAGTTATATAAATGTATGGTGGGTGTAAAGGCTATCATCTAATTTAAAAATTTTGTATATATTGCATGATTTAAATAAATACGTAATTATTTATACAAATTAGCTCGAACATATTTTCAAACAATCAATTGCTTCTCCTTAAAGTGATTATAATTATAATTATAAATAATTTATTTCTTAATTAATAGAATAAATTTATTTGAATATATATTTAAAGCTTAAGCGTTTTTGTGTATAGCACTCAACAGAGTTTAGAACTTAAGCGTAAATGAATTTAAGTTCATCAAAACTAAATCCAGTTGTAATTAAACTTAATGAAAAAAAGCCTTAATATTTAATAATAAAAAAAATAAATAAATAAATAAATAAAAAGTAAATAAAAGTTATTTAAATAAAAGAAAATAAGAGATTGATAGAAAAAACAAGTGGAAAATGCATTTCTTTAAAAGCGAACAGCATAGTCGGCCAAGACTGACTATTACATACACAATACGATTTCGTTCCATTTCGAAGCCATTCATAACGACTTATTTTTTTAAAATCATATAACGGCTTTTTAAAATAAGACATTACACGAGAAATAGTGGGTAGTGATCTAATTCGACCTATTTTCAATACCGCATATGTTCTTGCGTCAAGACGTATTGGTGTCTGAAATTTCATTAAAAAATTATCTCAAGAATTACAATTTGTAGGTTGAACATATCGGGAGATATCAGCTGGACGGACGGACGAATAGACAAGCCAAATCGATCTGTGTAATAGTTGAGTCCTTCTGGATACTGCACACATCCCCACAAACTTGATATACCAGTTGCTGCAGTAAGTTATGCACAGCATAAGCGTTTACTTAAAATTTATCTACACAAGTACAACTGCACTTGCAATTACAATGTTCGCGCCTGCTATGCGTTTTTGCTTTCCCTTTTATTGTACTCTGTTGACGGCAACCTACATTTTAGAAAGCACATATAAAGAATTGATTTTTTAATGGGCTATGGAAGTGATTTCTGTTGTTTGCGAAATGGTTCTTAACTTCATTTTAATAGTTCTTCGTTAGCTGTTTTCGTGAAGTCCGATATTTGTTGATAAATGGCATCCAAGCACAAACGATTTCAAGATTAATGTAAATTCGAAAAATGTTTTTTAGTCTTTGACAAGAGAGCTACTTAGCTATGCGCTTTTTGCCTGCATTTGAAAAAATCTAAATGGCATTAAGTGCGATATACGTTCAACATTCTGAAATAATAAAAAATTTTTTATGAAATTGAAAATCATTTTCTCAAATCATTTTCTTATTCAATTGCTATTCTGTCGTACTGTACTTGATAATAATCAAGAGACTCGGAATCGAATATGTAAAGATTATCGTTGCACCTCCTATGCGAAAATAAATAAATAGCATCCTTAAGTCGTCTGCATTTGCAAAAAATGGTTAAGAAATTTTAAAATATAGAGCTGATATGGATAGTGCTCTTATTCTAAGTAGTAAGCTAAACATCAATAAAACATACAAAGCAAACGTTTATCACGCAGACAGAGAGACTTAATTCGGTCCCGAAGTCCATGAGGCCATACGGTAAAAGTGGGCCGGCCTTTAAGTGTTACACGCATCCACATACCGTCTTGTCGACTGCACTAAAATGAAGGTTTGAATTGATGGAATGAATGACTTGAATGAAGAGCTCACAATTTCAATAAAATGTTAAACAAATGTCGCTTACGTTACATTTTAATGATGTTCTCGTTATAATCTGATTGAGGAACTTTTAAAAATGATTTAAACGCAGCTAAGACTAATGAAGGCTACATTCTCCAGAAAACGCAAAAATGCTTTGATTAATCTTGCCATAGAAAATGCAGAATATAAGGATCAGAGCCTGGAATGGCTGTTATGCAGAAAGGATCGCTTCGATTAGATTAGCTCGAATAAAGTAAGTAAAAATTGTAAAAAGCCTTGATTGATTCAATCAACCGCAGTAGGATCAGCATGAGTATACATTAGCTTTAAAATTAAAATTATGTAAAGAAATTAACAAAAATCATTGACTGACTCTCGTATAGTTGATCTTTTTGAAATGGTTTGCAGCAGCCATTCACTTTGCAAAAAGGAAGAATAATCGATCATTATTGCTGTTTCTTAAATTTATTTATTTATTTATTTATTTATTTTTTTATTTTTTTGTTTTGTTTTCTTTATTTTATTTTTTTTACATTTTGCAACAAAATGTGAGCGTTTCTCTTAATGCATTCCACCATTAATTTAACATTACTTCAACATAAGTGACTGTCGTGTACAAATGTCATTTATTGTAGGTAACGCTTGACAGGACAACGACAAAATGATACTCATTGTCAACAGCACGACAGATCGGACACAAATGGAATGGAAAGTAACGAAACATAACACTGCTTAAGTTTTGCGTGCATGTATGTATGTGTGAAGACAACAAAATTCAATTGAATTGAATCCGAAGAAAATCTTTAATACATGAAAAAAAAAAGAAACAAAAAAAGGGAATTGTAAGTTGGTATACACATGTAATGGTATAATACTACTACTACTACTACTACTACTACTACGACTACTACTACGAATGTAGATGAGAAGAGACCATAATAATAATGATCGTAATAGCTTCTACTGTGGGTAAGATTGCTATTGAGAGGGAGACAAAAGTAAAGTAAAATTAATTTAGTTTTGTTTTTTTTTTTTTTTTTTTTTCTTAT